GTCTGATGGGGCCTTTTGACGGTCTGATGGGGCCTTTTGACGGTCTGATGGGGCCTTCTGACGGTCTGATGGGGCCTTTTAACGGTCTGATGGGGCCTTTTGACAGTCTGATGGGGACTTTTAACAGTCTGATGGGGCCTTTTGATGGTCTATGAGGCCTTTTGACGGTCTGATGGGGCCTTTTGATGGTCTTAAGAAATCTCGACTACAACACTGCTGTCAGAGAGCCCAGGTTATTAAAAAGCAGTTGTAAAAACGATAAGCATACTGTTTTACTAACCCATGTATAACATAATGCCAAAGGCTCCATTCTCAATTTGCGCTTCAGTGTACATAGAAAATTTTTACTGAATGCTTTCCCTGTGCCTGCAAAGATGAAAACAAGTCATCCTAATGTCCAAGCTGACTTTGAAAAACACTCAAATTTCTACTCACCAGATTTACTCTCATACTGTTCCACGTTATTATTTCCCCTATTATTCCTGTCATCTGTTCGGGATTTTGTCGGACTGGCAGGGCCATTGCCTTCGGGGATGACATTGGACTCCACACACAACCCAGATGCAATGTCTAACCCGAAGCCGGACCCACAGGTGCATTGGCCGTACTGATTACACACAAAGTGGGGGAGTGGACAGTGGTCATCCGTGACGCAGCCGCTGATCGGGAAGCAAGTGTGACCATTGCCTGTTGTCAAAAGGATGAAAACCGGATGTCAAGTCTCAAAATTTCAACAAAAAAGGTTCATATCACCACAGGCCCAGAAAAGCAAGATTAAAGGTTTAGGTACTACTAATCCAATTCCAGTCTGCTCACTGAAACGAGTCAAATCTTGAGTCTATTTTTGAGCTACATACATGTATATCATTTTCAGATGCCTAATATAAGATACTAGAGTATATTAGATTGTCGAGTCCATGGTACCATGCAATAGCGCCCTCAGGTGATCAGATGTACGAACTGCACCACTTCAGATAAGTTAACAAGTTCAAGAAATAAAGCAAGGTGATGGTTACGAGTATAACTGATTTTCTTGCATACTTACTGCCTTGAGTAAGCCCTGGACACAAAATATTTGGCGAGGAGTACGAGATAGATCGTACTTAAAGCATCTTTGCGTCACGGCAGATTAAACCACCTCCATTTCCTCTCGTAACACTGGCAACAATGTCTCAGCTCCATTGGAATGTATCTTTACTGTCAAACTGCCATACGGTACCTCTTTAAAAATCCGTTCATCGGCCATTTCAGTTTCTTCTCATCCACAGCCACACGAGAAAATCAGTCCTGAACAAAATCTCTCAATCCAATCTTACCTTCAAAACCCTCGGCACAACGGCAACTGCCCTGGTCGCAGACGGCGCCCAGTGCAGTGCATTGAGGGTTGCAGTCAAGGACAGGCGATGGCCTCAAAGCATCAACGCAACCTCCAGTCACATTTAAGACCGTGGAACCATCTAAAGGCATCAGATATTTTCAACAATGGATCGGCTATTTTGAAGCTACAACTAAGACTTTATAATACCAGGAAATTACTGATGCTGTAATTCCTGAACAAGTCAGCAATAATCAAAAATTTTTTAAAACATATTTCAGTGAAGAAATTAATCCATGAAACATTTAAGATGGATCCCCACATGCCAAGCAAATGCTGCAGCATGTACCTTCTATCTGGCACCAGACCTCTCTGCTCTTGGTCCCTGTATCAAAGGGGCCAGTCTGCCAGGTGAAATTGGGGCAGACTGCTTGATCTGATGGGCATGACCTGTGCACAGAAAAACAAAAAGAAACTGAAATTTTGACCATCCCTGAAATAAAATCATGAGTCAAATCTGTCACTCACCACCACAGGTGACAGTTTTCTGTCAAACTTCAAATGGTCTAAAAGTGAATTGTGGAGCGATCGCAGTAGTAAAAAATCTTTTCTGTGAAGGTAGAAAGTTCTACGAAGAACCAAACATAGGAGTCAACCCTTGAGGTTCCTAATAAGACACTCTCATTGTCTTCAGAAGAAGTAATCTCCTTCACAATCTATCAATCTTTAACACCAATCACAATACAGATTGCCTGATATGTTTGACCAGTAACCCTTTTTGCTGAGCGAATGCTTTCCAAGCTTAGCAGATATCCCTGCTTGGAAGTTTCATGAAACAAGCTGCTGGTGGCAGTGCCAACAAGTAACCTGCACAGGACGGTTTCTACTCTCTGGACCTAATTTCATGGTGCTGCTAAGCAAACGATTTTTAGGCTTCAGATCTGGTGTCTTTTGGCTGACAGGAGTGTTGCTTACCTCTGATCAATGAGATTTTCAGGACAAGGCACTCCGCCAGGCCTGGCCGGCCTGGTAACTGCCCTTGATCTTGTGACATAGGGCGGATCACTCTGAGAGTAGCAGGAACCGTAGCAGGGGGTCTGAGGACTCCACGGAGACATCTGACGATTCAAGCAAATGGATTAGTCATCAGGAAGTGACAATGAAAGTTAATCACAATGGCAAAATCAAAGCAGTCAACTAATCGGAACCTCGGTTGGGTATACCATTCGTAAGGTTTACTTTAATATCATGAGAATATGGGCACTTCTGTTGACAACTGGGGTCTCATTTCTTAATTGTAGGGAGAAAATGGTCAACATGAGCAGTAATCAAACGAGACAATGTTATATATTTCACCATGCATGTTTAAATGGGTCCACTCTAACAACTTGATGCAGATGGTCGACAAAGTTGACAATGACCAAACTTTGCAGACTGTCTGCATCTCTCTTTGCATCAGATGCAAATGATGCTATCTATGGTTGCATCCACATCTGTTGTCTAGGTCTAGGTCTTCACATTGGAAATATGCGGAGATGCGCATATGATAGACCTAGCCGTAGCTCTGGAAGTCCATTTCGGAAATGGCCTGTATCTCTCTGTACAGATATGGAAACTAGGCTTTGCTTTGCTGGTTCATGGGGACTACAATCAGAGGTGGTGCAAATCCTCCACTACGGCCTTGCACTCACCATGCAGTCTCCAGGACAAGGCTTCTCACAACGCTGTGATGTCTCGATGTTTAACACTGTCGCATTGGCAGTGGAAAGGAACAGGTTCATGGCATTTGGATTTTGAGCGTCTGGGAATTCTTTGAAATAAAAAAAAGTTAGCTTGAAATCACTGCGAGGGTTAAATATCTACATACCTGTGATTTGTACTACAAAAAGGGACACCCAAGAGTTCCAGATTTTGCTCAAAAGCTGACAGCTAGGATTTCTTGACTATCGAGGGATGGCTACAAAAATTTGGAAAATTCTGCAGAATTGTAATATCAAGTCTTGACGGTTCAAAATTAGTGGCTTGCCACATTTTCTCTTCCAAAGTAGCTCAATGTGAAATTTGAAAAGACTTTTCAGAACAGATTCTTCAAAAACATCCTGTGCGCAAGACCCATACGAGCATTATTATACAACCAGATGTGAGTTGTTATTCAAACAGACTATTATAAACAGGGTAAGATTTCCATTAAAAAAACACGGAAAAAAAGTAATCCACATCCAGACAGCGAACTCAGGAAGAATCTTCACCAAAGTGTAGCAACAGAATTGCTGAGAGAAGGTGCAAATTTGGTAAAAGACCTCAGAAGTTTTTCTTGAAAGGGACTAAATGTTTAAGCTGTAAGGTAGAAAGCTGATTTCTCTCTCCACACCTTGTATTATGCAGTACTCGTGATCCACAGTGAGCCCGTCGCTGCGCAGACACTCAACGAACCGCGTGCGCTCCCCGAAGCCGCACCCGCGCGCTGTCTCAAACCGGCACTCGCTCCAGAAGCTCCGTTCCCAGGCATAGGTGTGACAGGGAACCGAGTTGCACGGCATCGTCTGGGGGAAGAAATGGAAGCAGAGTCGATGTGACTTTAATCAGGTTTGGTGTACGCTCCATTTCCATGGCACAGAAATAACTGAGAAAAATTTCCTCTAGCACATAGACAGTTACACCCACCTGATACCAGTATCCCACATCAAGGAGGAAAGAAATGAATTCAAGTAAAATGGCTTGCTCAAGGACACAAAACATGGCCAACAATTGTATTGGAACCTCTAACCCTGAGACCTGTAAGTTTCATACCCTAGCCCCTGGGCCACACTCTCCTCAATCAACATCATCTAGACCTGGACCTTGGTTCTTATTACACTGCCTACACAGACATGACAAAGGTTTATTGGCACTCGCAGAAACAGAAAGCATAAGCAACTTCGGCCAGAACAGCAAAACAGGAATTTCCAGTTTTAATTTTACCTGACTTAAAGTGAACTTCTGGGAGCATTTCTTGCCAGGGTATAAAGATTCCATGACCCTTGACCTCTCCATGACCCCTGTCAGCCCACAGGTCTCACTGCATGGGGACCAGTCAGAGTACTTCCCTGGTTCGCAGGTGACAGAGCATGGTACATCGCAGGTCTCGCTGGTGGTAATGTTCTCAAAGGGGCAGTGGTGCATGGACACGGGGAAGCCTCTGGCATTGACACAGTTGAAAGTCCGTTGCCTAATGCCTGAAAAAAGTAAATCGCCGAGACTTTCTGAGCATGATCACAGGAAGGCAGAAGTGAAGAGAATTCCTGAAAACCTCTAACAGAGGGGTTGGAACAATGACAACATTAAAATTTTGTGACTTTTCAGGATATTTAATCTGCTGACGATTTATGAACACATTCTTAAAAGGGAATGATCATGTCTGAGCCTTGCACAAGTGATTTAGTGGAGGCTCCTTTGGTGAGAACTGTACTTTGCTGGTTCATAAACGACTATGAAATGCACATGTTACTGTCGCGTCACTACCAAGAAAATAAACACTCCCAACTAACATGGCCCTTTTCAACCAATAAGGGGATAATTCTGGTCAAGAGGGATACCCACTGACGGCCTTGCATTGGTCCCATTCACCCACCACCGTTTAAAACCATGCAAAACTGACATCCAGCCCCCCTCACCTGTGCCACATTCCCCGCTGACGGCTTTGCAGTGGATCCACTCGCCCGTCACCAGCCGGTACCCGTCAGCAATGCAGTCAGCCCCAGTGCACAGCACAGTCTGAGTCAGGTCCCCACACTGTTCCCCTGTCGCCATCGGGTGCCGGATGACAGAGCGGATCTGCGACTTGCTGCTGTTCTGCTGGCAGGGGGAGGGGCAGTGCGTCTGATCCGACCAGTCGGTCATGACGCAGTCCCCTGAAAACAGGAAAGAGAAAAACAGTGCATCATCTTAATACCGACTGGCAATCTGATCCATCACCTTGAAGGAACACAACTTTCAACCAGCATTGTAGAACTCATGATCGAGTACTTTTTTGGAAGTAGTACTCGTACTCACAATCACAAAAGCATACTCATTCTTGCATACAATACTCATATATCATAAGTTCCATGCTCAAAAACTCACACCCATAGTCATGCAGAAGTACCCACACCCATACTCATGCAGAAATGCTCACACCCATACTCATGCAGAAGTACCCACACCCATACTCATGCAGAAGTACTCACACCCATGCTCATGAAGAAGTGCTCACACCCATACTCGTGTAGAAGTACTCACACCCATGCTCGTGAAGAAGTGCTCACACCCATACTCGTGTAGAAGTACTAACATCCATACTCATGCAGAAGTACTCACACCCACACTCATGCAGAAGTACTCACACCCACACTCATGCAGAAGTGCTCACACCATACTTGTGCAGAAGTACCCACAACCATACACGTGCAGAAGTACTCACACCCATACTCGTGCAGAAGTACTCACACCCATACTCGTGCAAAAGTACTTATACTCCTACTCCTGGAAATGTACTCGACTACAACACTGTCTTCAACAAAGTATTAAATAAAACACATCAGCCCATTTTCCTCTCTAATTTCAAGACAGGAAAGTTGACTGACCTGGACAAGGTAGTACACAGCCCCTGCTGGCATCGGGCTTGGGGAGCCGTTCCTCGCACTCCTCTTCAAAGTTGTCCCCAGCCTTGCAGGACACTCTCCGTGTCTGTGCTCCACTGCCGCAATTGCTGCGCGGATCAATAGACTCACAGGGACCCCACTGCCAACAAAAACATTTACTGATTGCTTAAAGTGAGAGTACAACAAAGGGGCAGCTTGTTTCATGCAGATCTGGATCTCGTTTAGTTATCCCACAGCTGGTGGGTGCCATCCATTGGGTGAGTTTGGTGTCAGTGAGTCAATGATGGATCACTGATTGCGATCTGGATCTCGTTCGGTGATCCCACAGCTGATGGGTGCCATCCATTGGGTGAGTTTGGTGTCAGTGAGTCAATGATGGATCACTGAGTGCGATCCAGATCTGTGTGAAACAATCTGGCCCCATATGAACTCTAACCAATCCAGTGCCCCAAATAAAGCTCATTACCACAGGGGCATATGCCCAGTGCAACACTTATGGAATCCCTCTTTAACCAATAGACCTTTTCACCGTGACTAAATGTAAACAACACCAACGTGTGGACCGCCTTGGCCACGGTCATCGCATATATTCCTACAGAAGCTTTAACCACGTGCATGCACACACGCAACGCTGCATGCTTGACTTAACCACTTCCTGCCGGGGATTCTGGTACCAGACACATGTGCTTTATATGAGTGGCCGGGGTCTTCGAACTCAGACAAAGGGAACTGGGCCTTGTAACAAAAGACCGTAATTGGAACAAAAGACCAGGCTGCTGGGCATTACCGACATTTTTTCATGCTCAATAGTGGAGATAATCCAGCCTTGTTTTTAAACAGTATACCACGGTTTGGGGCATTTACAGCGAGTGGATTACCACCGGGGACAAAGGCGCTCCACCACAGCAGCGATGAGCCACACAGTACCGCTGCATGCTAATCTGGCCCCTATTGAAAAGAGGTCAGCAGCGCACTGTGCCAGGTTCTTGAACAAAAGAATGTTACATATTGAAACCGCACAATCTGGGCTCTTTTTACAAGGCAGCAGGCCTGGCTGAAAAACTCAGGCATCAATAGATTTTGTCTGTCAGGCTAGAGTGGAGACCAAACAATTCTTTGTGTGGGTGCAAGTGTGCAGTAAATGAAGATTTTTAAAGAATTATGAAAACAGAAAAAAATGATAAATATCCTGCCCCAGCATCATCAACATTGATAACTGCCCTGGCAGGAAGTGGTTAAAGTCACTTGGTGGTGACTCCAATAGACACCTGCCCTATTGGAAGCCACAGCCAAGTGATTTAGACGTAGCCTCATTTACCTGTGACACCTCCCACTCAAGTTGGGCACAAGGCATCTCCATGCAAATCATGCTGTCAATCAAATGGGGGCAGTCCCGCCCACCATGTACACTCTGCTGCTGAATGTTCCTCAGCCTGGTCCTGATACCTGACCATGAATATTCATATCCATATCATTACATAACTGCTAACCACATTCATGAATATTTATGACTCAAGGAACTAAATGCCCCAAATCACAACCTTTCAAATGCAAGATAAGCCTGAATCTGGAAAATGGAATATCTTAAGCAGTTTCTTTAAACTGTTCATCTCTGGTGTTTTCATTTGTTTTGAAATTAAATGTGTTAAACATTTTTTCACTCAGTCAAATGAAATTGAAACATTTATGTAATGCATCACTATTCAATAAGGTATTTAGAAGTAATGACAAACTGCTCCTCAAGTTCAGGCATGAGACAAGGACAGCACGGCAAACAGAGCTTGTGGAAGTATAAATCCTTTCAACAGGTGTGTGGGGTGGAGGGACAACTCCAATCTGACAACCAAAGATGGTATAGCGCCGCCTAGCGGTGCAAGATGGCGAACTTCATCGTGAATACACGTAAAACGTTGTAATCGCATGGACGCCATTTCAGCAAGTGATATGACTGCGCAATGCACATTAATGCACAGGCGCCGCGGCGGGCACGTACACCTGGTGAGCCTGCGCCTAAGCATTATCGTAAACCGCAGGCATATCACTTGCTTAAATGGCGTCCATGGTAATTAAATCTTTTGGGCAGAGTTATCCATCTTGCGCCTTCGGCGCTATACAATCTTTGCTGACAACCCTCCTTCCGGCCTGCATCTCTTTTTATCCCTTACCCTGTCCGCAGGCTTGAGTGCAGGGTGACCAGTCTATCCACTCAGACACGATGCAGTCGACGGGGCAGGGGACATCACAGCTCTGCTGCGTGCCAGGCTTGGCGGCGGACACCTGGCAGAAATGATCAGGGACGAACACGCCATCACTGCGCCTACAGAGCACGCTGCGGTGCATGGTGCCCGGCCCACACTCGGCACCTGCAGTCACATAAATGACAAAACTGATATTGAAAGTAACACCATTTCAATGTAGGCCACTAAAACAGACAAACCTTTGACTAGCCTATCTAGAAGGAGGCGAGTCTCTGTTAAATTTTTGTTGTAAAGAAGGGACAAAGATCTACGGCACTTGGGGTCATGAACAGTATCTATCTAGACCAATATCTGGCAAAGCAAAGGTCCTCGCAAATCTAAGTATAACCTTCTTGAAGAAGACAGCTCTGCCAGGTTCCGTTTTGCCACTCATACGTAAAGGTCTCGTCGTCACATGACATGTAATTTCTCAGGTCAGAGTCAGCAATGTGAGGGCAGAGTTCGCCGGCGTTGTCTATAGCTGGAGCTGTAAAAAAACAACAAATTATGTAAGGTTTGGCATGTCAAAACGGACATCTGAATTTCCAATATCCCAAAAGTTTGACCAGATTCAACAAAACAAGTCTTAGAGCCGTTTATTCAGCATTTTTGTTTCTCCTTGCATTAAGAAAGGGCAAGCTAGGCTCACTGTTTTGGTGCCCTACCCAGTTTGGCATCCTTATATGACCATGCACAGGTGGAAAATGTTAAGGGTTCCTATTGACTGACATTGTTAAGTTCTTTTCAAGGTCTTAAAAAGAATTCCGACCAAATATCGTATAGCATCGAAGGTGGAAGATGGATAACTCTGCCCAAAAGATGTAATTAGCATGGGCGCCATTTGAGGAAGCGATACGCCTGCGCAGTTTACGGTAATACTTGGGAACAGGCGCACCAGGTGTACCATGCCTGCCGCAAAACCTGCACCTGTGCATTAATGTGCATTGCACAGGCGTATCGTTTGCTCAAATGGCGCCCATGCGATTACGTTTTACGTGTATTCACGGTGAAGTTCGCCATCTTGCACCACTTCGCGGCACTATACGATCTTTGCTGCCAACTCATTTTATTGGGAAAGGCCACAAATGCTTCATGACAGATGAAAACTGAAACACAAATTTACATGCAAACTGTGCCAATACGATTTTGTCAAAAAGAGCTTTTTACTTTCTTGATGTCACTAAAGGCTGCGTGCTTACCGATGCTTAAGATGGTCCGTGATCGCATTCGGCAGTAGCCACTGTGATCTAAATGGCCACAGTCGTGGGCACACGGCCCAAAGACTGTCCACTCAGAGAGGAGACAGTCCCCAGGACATGTCACAAGACACTGCTGGTAGGAGGGCGGTGGAGTGGAAAGCAACTCGCGAAGGCACAAACCTGATTGAATCCAGAAAGAGCAGAAATATCACACCGTGTCAAACTTACTTGGCTGCAGCCAGAAATTACACACATGCCCATGGACGAAGTCACAGCCACTCCTCACTGCCGTGTTCTCCCAAATGCAGAACAGCAATTTGGATGTGACTAGTCCAAACACTATTTGAAGCACACAGACATCGTCTCCACAAGAGAACAAGTGAATAAAAGCGACGCCCTTTTTCCAAGGACCTCCTATGGGGTAACACAGCAGGTACTTGTCTTGTTGGCACACGTCTCGCATGGAGAATGCCTTCAGTTTTGAAAATCTGTGCAACATACGTGCCCCACCAGTGGTGGTCACAATGGCATCTCTATTTATCATCAGTGAAGGAGCACTTATGGACTAAGCAGAGTCAGACAGTAGTTGACTCATAGTTACAGCTTCTCTCTCTCTGACAGATTTCGACCAAGGGTCAAGTATGAGCACTGTTACATGCGTACTCAGGCCACGGCATCCTTACCCAGTTCGACAGTTGTTCCATCGCTCCTCTCGCAATGTACCTCTCGGGTCTGCAGGCCCTTGCCGCACTCGGTGCCGACAACCTCGCAGTCAGTCCAGTTCCCGGCATTCCAGTGGTAGCTGTAGCATGGGGGGAGATCGTCACACGATTCCACTCTGACAACGAGACCTAGTAAATGACGAATACAAAGATGTTGGCTACTTTCTCTTAAATTCCAAAAAGATATACTTCACTGCAGCAGAGGTACTGGAGGGAAGGTCGGATAGGGGAATAGTTTAATTAATTGACAACAAAACTTTATGGCATTTGGCCTGACTGAAAAATGTGGTTTTTTTTATTGGCTGTTAACCCTAACCCTGCAAGCACAGTGTATAAGGTGAAAAAGTCTGATGTACTTTGATGCACTGGGCAATCAACAGCAGCCGAACAAACTGGCCATGTTGAGACAATGGGAGCTAGTCCCATCGAACAGTGCCACTGTTGGATCTTGTGGTGACTGGCAACCACAGACTCCAAGGATGTTGGCCTTGGGAAAAGTTGACCTGTTGGATCTTGTTACACTATATAGGCAAGCAAGCCACTTCGACAAATAATGCAGACTGATGTGTCTGGCAGGGTTTCTAGCCAAAGTTGGCTGGAGGGTTGAAGATTTCTCACCATCTTCATCTGCTTCGCTTGGACATGGAGTGCCACCGTGCGCAGGGAGTCGGACAATGATCTGCATCTGCACCCGCATGCCACTGGCACCGCATGTCTCACTGCAACCAGAGAGGGCGCTCCAGGTCGACAGCCTGCAGTCGATGGGGCAGGGCACATCGCAGGCACGCTGGGCAGCTGGCTTGGAGGCTGGGTCGCAGTAGCTCTCATCTGGTGCCATGCCCGTCTCCTTCTCACAGGTGACCTCCCGGTGCTTGATCCCAGCCCCCTGGCCGCATCCCGCTTCTGACACCGAGGACCTGATGCACCCCTGCCAGGCCCCGACCTGCCAGGTGTAGCTCTGGCAGGACACGTGCAGGTTGCAGGGCCGTAGCTGTGTCAGTTCGTTCTCTGGAAGGCAGGAGTCCTCTTCCAGATCCGAGTAAGCTGTGATAAACAGAGACATTAAACTCAAAGTGCAACAATCTCAGGAAGAAGTAAAGTTCCATACATGTCTGTTATACATGTCAATGTGAATGCTTAGTAAACGTTTACAATTTTCACTTGCTGTTCTTTAACTTTCATATTCCATCATAAAGAATTAGTTGACAATGAACTTATCTCTAAACATCTTTTTATCAGTAGCTGTCTGCGTTGAAGCAAGATTAGCCACGTTAGGTTTCATCAAAGGCCACTATTTTGATAATACTGCCGTTCCAAAGATTGTCGGAACAACGAACAGTGGAATGACCAATAATGGGTACCAGTAGGTATAGGAAAATGTATGTATTTGCGTATAAATATTGGCACTTGAAACTTAAACAGTAAAATTTATCTTTTAGCATCAATATCAGGAAACCATTCTTACCCAGAATCTGTCTGGTCCTCATCTGCGTGCCGCCTTTCTTCCCGCAGCTCTTGGAGCAGGGTCCCCAGTCTGTCCACTCCGAGATGACACAGTCCGTCGGGCAGGGTATCCGGCACTCCTCCTGGTAGGCTGGGGATGCCCCAGGACACTCCTCATCCTCCAGGAGCTCGTCCAAGGCACTCATGCAGTAGACGGTGCGGACATGGCTGCCCTGGCCGCAGTCCGTCTGCCCATGGTTCAGGAAGCACTTGCTCCATCGTGCTGTCAGTGAAATAAAGATCCCTCCTTTGTAATACAGGCATGCCAACCGCTTAATCTTGGCCCAAGAGTGGCTTTGGAGTATATTCCCCGGACAAGTGCACAGATACCTTGCCACTGTATTTAAGGCAGTACAAAGGGTAACAGTCTGGTTGGTTTAGGGGGGTTCAGGGAGTAATAGGCAAGGAAGTTTACAGAGACAAATCGGTAAACCGCTTGAGGATGGCAGCATTTTTTGCCAAAAATTCTTGCTTTCAAAAAAGGAGAGATATCGTGGTCAGCTTGTCAAATGCAGTAAAACATACAAAAACTGATTTAAATGTTTTCAGGTGAATGAGGTATTTCTTAAAAAAACCTATTTTGCAATAATCTGGGAAACTGCCACGATGTGATATTTTGCTATGATGGGGATCATGCACAATGATAAAACTCGACATACGATCTGCCCCTGGCTCCAAAGACTTTTCAGACTTTGTTCGTACCAAAAAAAATTGGGAATTTGGTACAAACACGTCTGCCAGGCGTGATTTATTGAACCTGTGTTGGTTTTAATAACCTGCTGGTCCTCCGTGTTTGATTACAGATTGGGAAGGAATTCCATGCACAGTTGCCACTGATTTTTCCCAACGATAACATGACATAAAAAGCCACATGTAGCAGGTAAATATTGAGGTATTCACACAAGTAACATTTTTCACATCAGTCTCATAGAGTTTGTGCATGGGGTGTCAGGTGGCATCCATATGTGTGACCCACTCTGTGAAAATGAGTCTTAAGTCACCAGAGCCACTTAGGAGTAAAAAGTCCTTTAGAATAATTTTGCACAGTGTAAATCAATAGGAACCCACAGGATTTTTCACCATGGAGTATCCACTTTCATTAGGATGCCAAACTGAGTGATTCATCTAGACAAAAAACTCACTTTGCTCTTTCCAATACAAATAAAAACTCAAAAGTGGCTCTGGCAACTTAAGACTCATTTTCACAGAGTGGGTCACATATGGAACTCTTTCCGCAGACTGCAATATTTTGTATTCACATCCTTCAGCACAAACTGGTGAAGCAAAGGATAAGCCTTTTTGCAAAACTTACAGGTGTGCCACCAGGCGCACTCCACGAATTCGCACTCCTTTGCTTCAGCCAGCGGCCCACACTCCTTCCCACCATGGGCCGGCCTCACCAGGATCTCCCTGGACCGGACCTGGATGCCCTCCTGACAGCTCTGAGAGCAGGGAGACCAGCTCTGCCACTCCCCCAGCTGGCAGTCCACGGGACAGGCCAACCAGCAGGCTCTCTTCCCGGGTGGCTCCAGACTCGTTGCATTGACAGCTACGGGAATGAAAGTTTGGCATTTTTCACTGATTGTCTATTACAAAAGGGATTAAATTATATTTGATCCAATACTTTGGCTTGATTGAAACCTATGTACCATGACTAATATTGGATTATTCCTTGACAACAAAATTTAATTAAACATTTAATCAAACAAGAAGGCACAACAGCAGAATGCTTAATCTGTTATTTCAGCTGTCTTTACAACGTATGCCCACAGAATGCGTGAATTAAGCTTTTATCCACAACAGCAAAGGATAGTTCACTCAAGACACCATTGACAATGACCTAGAACAGGTGCCTATGTAGAAGTCTACAGGCATACTTTTATAAGCTTTACCAAAGAATCAGCATCTTCTAAAGACAGCTTCAAACCAGATCCTTCAAAAGCCTCCAACTGCTTTCAGAGGGGTTTGGAGGATTGAGGACATTAGAGTAAAAAGGAATGTGCCATGAACTTCACGCAACGTGAAGTATACTGGAAGATTTTGTAAGATTCCTGCTAAGAATGCCAAGGGAGTCGAAGCGGCCTTACCAGTAATGCTGCACACTCTTCTTTGTAACATCTTTTTTTGACTCATTAAAATGCATGCACCAGCAACCCATTAAGGTCATACAGAAAGTGTACTAATGCACCTGCCTGAAAGTGGCTTAGACATGGAATACAGGAAGAAGGGACGTGGCAAATGAGGAAACATCTGACAGCTTACGAGAGTTGATGCAGTTATCGTTCGTGACAGGGATACGATCGGAATCTCCTTCCTGGATGCAGTAGACTTGCCTCTTCTGTCGTCCTGCTCCACACGTCTCATCGTTGCTTGGCGACAGCCTGCACGGTTGCCACTCCTGGTATAAATGGAAGTTACAAACACAAGTGTCTCATTATTCAAAGATAGAATCTATAGCCTATAGGTATGGAATTTATCCAGTTTACTAACTAAATCCATGATTTCCTAGATGAAGATCTTATAAATTTTAATCCTTTGGTTAGCTTACATTGTAGACAACATGCACATGTAGTTCTCACACATGCACATGAAACATGTACAGTTGATTAACTTTCTGTTTTCTTTTCCAAGCCACATGGAATGTATAGGCTTTTGGCTAAAAATGGATCAACGCATTGACAAATGCAGAGAATATCGAACACAAACCTATGCAGTAGGTACACATAGCGCAGTCAGTAGGCCCGACACATTACATTACCCTCAACACCACATGTTCAACCCCAGCTTTAGGCAGCCAACTGAGCATGTTTGCTCAAGACCAATGGTGAACCATTATTGAACACGATGCTAATCCATGAGGACTAGAGCAGTGAAGCCGGGTTGGTCACTATCACAAGTAACGTGCAGGTGTTGTATCAAAAAGTACTGATGATCTCTGTGGTTTTACTACAGTTGGTCACATTTCAATGCTAGTGTCTGCACACAAGGTCCACAACAGACTGGCCCCTGCTCAATCAGTGGGTTTTGAATGATCTTTCTTTTCTGTAAATGCAATAATTTGATTTGTTAAATGACCTCTGCGACCCATTCAAAGCGTGGGCAGTCCGGCAGTGGCTCCCCCTCGCATTCCCTCCGCTCAGCCAGGCTCGGGCAGGGCAGCCCTCCGTTTTCTGGCAGCCTCACGATCTCCCGAGTACGGGTCTGCACGGTACCAGTCTGAGCTGGTGCAAGGTGGTTCTGGCAGGTCTGAGAGCAGACTCCCCAGGCGGCCCAGGGCGAAGTCTGGCAGTTGCAGGGGATGGAACAAGTTTCAGCTGATGGGGGCTGCATTCCGCGCTTCTGAGGATCTGAGTCAAAAACAGTTTCAGAACTTAGATTACTACCCAAAATTGAATTGGTTGAAAAAATGTCCTCCCGAATTCAGATGTGTAAAATCTATCCCAAATGCTTTTAAATAGTGCAGTCCACAAGAAGTTTCATACAGAACATCCAGTGTCAATATGCACAATGTCCGAGTTTTAAAAAAATTAGAAATAAAAAAGACGGATAAAATTAAATGAGAAAAAAGTGAGTGCTACAAAGAAGCAGAATAACAGATACGTGTAGATGAGACTAAACTGACACCATGGCACTGTGACAAAAGACAGAAATTGGTGGCATGCCTTCACAGCCAAGTTGAACTCCTGGAGGCTGATTCATACTCGGCGTGAAAGTGAACAAAAAATGCGAAATTGTGAGGTCTGATCAAATATACACGTTGCAAATTCACGAAAGCTGAACACATTTCAAATTTTGCAACGTTGTCATGACAACCAATTCGCTTTGTTTTCACCTTCGCCTGAAGAATGAACCGGCCTTCCAGTCGATTGTATCAGGTCAACCTATGCCAAGTACCCTGTGTTAGTAGCTGCACCAATGCTACATTTGCCATAAACAATTCATCTAGAAGTAACAAAAGGCAAGCATGCTTGGCCACCTCCATGTACAGAGCATACCTTTTAATTAATGCTAGGATTCAGAAGCATGATTGCTTAATGATTCACATTGGCCCTACGGAAGTAAGATGCTTTTAACTTCAAACATAAAAACCACACAAAACCAACACTTTTATGTTTGTACACCCATCAAGCATTTGAATTAATGTGTCATTAAAAAATCCATTCACAAGCAAAAGATGTTGCGGAGTAAAAGTCGTCAAATTCTACTCTGTGCAATACACATGTGCACATAAGAAAGCTGCAGACTGCATTATGAGTGTTTGCTTCGAATGAAACAAAATTCAAATCTTTGAGCATGACATTTTCTTCTACATGTAAATATGAGGTAGAAATATCGTAAGGAAATCTACAACATTGGGCCCAAGGTACACATACTGAGTACTTCATACACACATGTACATGTGGTTTTGAGCGAGTATGCCTCACTCAATGTGTTATGCACCATATGGCGAAGAATAGGCTTTTCATGAACATGACACCAACCTTGGTCGTCAGAGCACAGATCGTTGTCAACAACTTCTCCTTGGGCGTCCACACAGGAAATGGATCGGAACCGCTGCCCGAGGCCGCAGCCAACCTTAGCATGCTGTGCTGCCTGCAAGAAAACAAGAACACAGCAGGAGTTGAAGGGTACACAGTAAAGACACCTACCAAAAGCACAGATGAGACACAAATTACTAAGCCTGAAGCTGATCAAAAACCTCTTTATACCATAAAAACATTTGACCAGGACAAACTACACTTTGATAAAAACAAAGAACAACAACAAAGCACCGGCATATATGCCTGGATTGAAAGTTTACCTTGAAACTGCGACCCAAACTCCTTAAATTCCAATATCCCTGTGGATTATTACTTGGAAACTTCCTGACATAGGCCTAAATGTATGCTAAAAATTACCAACAAGTGTTCTATAGAAAAAGGTACTACATGTAGTTTTACCATTCAAGTGACATCAAGCAAAATACAGTAGCCTCCATGGCACAGGTGCATGTATCAATTAAAAGTTACACAAGTACTGTACAGGACTGTCACGTCTGTACATGTATACATGTATAGTACATGTACTTTCCTAATCCTACATGTACAAAATTCAGTCACTGCGGTCACTTACATGTATGGAGAATTTGAATTGTAAGTACATGTAGCTTTAGTGTATGTAATTTTTAGCTGTTCTATGTGAAATGTTTTATGTATTGTGATTTTTTTAGCTGTATTATTTTTCCTACTATACTGGTATTTTTAATATTTTATTTCTACTACCGGTATATTCTTTTTACGAGATATGTGTAGCTGAATAAATAATGAAAGAATGGAATTCACAACAAAAGATCTAAAAGTTTACATTTAAAACTGAGACACATTTATCAAATTTTGACTATGTTTACATGTAGGCTAAAAAGTGCACTCATCCTTTGGAAGCACAGATATTTAGATCCCAAGTTTCATAACAATGTTGTTGTTTTGTGTTGTTTTAATGGCGGCAGTAACTGTTCGTTTATCAGCATCACATTACGGAGTTAGGAAGAAGGTCCAGATTTAGAGGCAGGAGGAAACCGGAGTACCCGGAGAAAACCTGCAAGAGCCAGTATGGACTGGAAACCAAATGCACTTACAGCCTGGGCCAAGCCGGGACTCGAACCCAGGCCTCATTGGTGCAAAGCCAGGAAAGAATTGCTACGCTAACGCGATCCCCCTTTCATAACAATAAGACTTAATTACTCATTTCAGGGCACTGTTAAACCTTTGAATAAACAGTAAAGCTTGGACGCCATTCCACCATGTTTGTCTGTTTGTTTAGTATCAGGGGTGAGATTGACCAATGAAAAAAATAGCTGACAACAGCTGAAAAAAGGCATTAAGAAGCTGAACTGTGAAAATCTCCTATACTTTTGTGCACAACCAGTGAGGGATAAAAACCTGAAATCCAAAACAAGAAAAGCTGAAATCAGCTAAAAAGCTGGGAAATCTCACCCCTGTGGTATTGAAAAATCAGGACTTTTTTGTTCATCATCATCACCACAAAAAATTAAATGGATGACAATTTGTTATTCAGTTAGAGTAACTCTGCCTCTAAATCCTACTTGGATACAGCACTTGCTTTCTTTTCAAAGCTCATTCACACATCAAAGGAAACAAACTGAAACGATCACTAAGAATTAAGTCCTCCATGGCTTGACTTTATAATGATCAACAAGCAGTCTTGTTTCATTAACCAGTCAAAAGGAGTGACCATCAAAATAAAGCTATCTTTTGAGATGAAGAAAAAACCTCTCTGGGGGAAAACTAAACCAAATCTACACAACAACCATCTCAGCTATAGAACAACCAGTCATCGCAGCGAATGAAGCCCCAAGCTTCTTAAGACTGTTCCCCTCCTCCTCGTGTTTTGGACACAGGTGCATTCCGGACAGGATTTACAGTCCAGCTTAGCCATTGTAAGCCTGGATGGATGTTATTCCATTGACATAACATTGGATTGCTGTGATTGGGCCTATTGGGTTTGTTCAGAGGGTGTGAAGGCTGAGCCTCCAGTGTTGTCCTTTTTTGCATCTTAAATACTCAAGGCTGTTTGAAACCGGCTACATGCAGCTTGTGAGGAATACAGTACACAGTGCAGTGCTTAGTGTGAAAAGAAAGCTAGAAATATTGAACATTTCGGTAATGGAACAACTGGAAGAGTATATTATGTACATAAACATGTATGTACTTTGCACATTATGCTATAAAATTTGTACATGTAGCTTTAATTTGTGGCAACTGTAAACCTGTAAAACTTGAGAGAGAGTCTAAAACTGAGAATTGCGTAAATGTAATGTGGTTAATGGCAAGCAGCGGCTAGCCTGCTTTACTGAACCCATAAAAATGCAGCAGCTAGTGCAGTCCACTAATTCAAACGAGAATTTCTGGCCAGCTCATTAGCATTAAAAGTGCCCCTCCAGTATCTTTTGAAAAAGGAGATTGTATGGCTCCAAAAATGGTGACAATGTGTACATCTTCACCAGAATCAACTCCCTGGGTGTTTGGGCTTTCATCTGAGAGCAGAATGGCTAAAAAATACTGTTGAAAAATGGTCCTAAGTGCCTGAGAAAGTTGAGGGTTTTCACTTGCAAAATGGCTGAAAGCAGACTTTGGAAAAATCACTTTTTGGGGGTAATTTTGTTTTGAGGGAATAACTCAAAATATAATCGGTTAACCCACAGAAAATTCAAAAGAAAGTGCAAGATTATGGACCATGCAATAATTTAACGTGTGTTTCAGATGCCTCAGGGATGTTAGTGGGCCCTGAACAATGCTAACTTGACACTGTTTTCAATGAGGTCTGAATTAGTGGACCAGTACGTACATTGTGCATTATACTGAGGGTTTATTTGGAAAAGGTAGATGTAGTTCTTATCCCAACTAGCCATAGAATTGCCCATTCGCTCCTCACTTTGAAATGAAGCAACTGTTAGCATTTGCTATTTAGTCAACAATCCTTTACTTGCACTGGTCGGTGCTACGGTAGAGACAAAGTGTCATTATACCAGTACGTGAAATTTGTCCGACACTAAATACGCTTTTTACGACAGGATTGATAACTGTATTGTATCCACTTTACAGGCTGATCATTCTAAAGTCATACATGTATGAAGCAATTTCCTGTGATAAAGATCTGTATAAATCGAAAACTGAACAATGAATTTTTGCTGTTATTGTTTATGTTTTGCCTGTATAATATTATCTTTTTTGATCTCTAAATATTAGAAGAAAAGTTGCATTTTATGATGCCTAATTATCTAAGACAACAAATAAAAACTCAGAAATGTTCAATGGTGTTCACCCAAGGCCTTCAAGAGCTAGGGCTACATTAAACAAACCCAGGAACCAATCCAGTCCACTCATTTCCTGCCTTCCCATTCTCTGATTGCATGCCCCAGACAATAATGCCATGTTTTTTTTCTACAACACAAGTTCCTTGCAGACATGAGCCTTTCACACAGATTAATACAACCAATCCAATTATGCATGCCAAACTAATGATATTGCAAAGCACATTGCCTCTTCAGATCAGGTCATGTTGATAACTTTGTACCGGTAAGTACTGTATTAACCCTCCTTTGGTTTTACAGCACAAATGTGCATATATGCCCACAGTCACTGGTGAGCATGTATTCCCTATTGTAGTGTCTACATACAGTGTACACCCTAGAGGCTAGAAATTCACAGTTTGAGTAAAAACTCACTTTCTCTGACTGAATATGGGAGCCCAGCTCTACGTGTAGCTACTGATAAAAATTTATTTAACTACACGTAGATAAAAACTTACCAGAGTTTACACTTAAGTGGTTCATTTCCAAAGCATTATTCCAATCTAATCTACATGTACCGGTATACATAGAATAATTTGTCACTCTGAATCATCTCGTCTCTTGTTTCATTATTGAAAATATTTAAAGCAAGCATCCCAACAAGAATGAAAAATCCTGAATGGTACTTTGATACATTTTTGGCGAGAAAAAAAGCTTTAATTCACTTTCTGAGTTTGTAGGATGTTTATTTCTATCGTTTTACATAAATTACACACATGTACATTGTACTTGCTCACTCCCATCAATTTAAATAATTTTTCTCTTAAACCTTTGTACAAAAAGCAAGTTTTATTGAATGCTCTTCGAGTGGATGACTCACAAGGGGACCTTACAGGTAATGTACGTTCATGGAACATTTACATGTAGTTCCATTTCAAACGTGATTACTTCAGGATTGATCATTTTCCATGATCAGAGTCATACACTATTTATCAGACTGCACATGTGGTCCTATTGACATTCTCTTCCGATGAAGATGGAAAGAGGTTGAATGACTAGTGCATGCGTAACATCACACCTGAAAATGACTTAGCCATGACTCACTCATGAGGTCATAACTTCAGTTGTGCATATTTTCTTCCCCTTCTATCAGATTGTCTCACAAGCAGGGAGCAAACTTTCTCTGTCTGGGGATTAACCATGACTAATCCACAGGTTTGTATCTAATATTTTGTCAACATCCTTTTTTTCCCCCATGAAAGAGAAAGAAGTACCGAAATATGTGACAGTAAGCATGACACATGTTACAAAAGGAGATTTGCACGAAATACACGTATGAGGTATTTCAAGTGCACGATTCACATCTGAAATCACAGGTGCCATCTCCATACCAAATACAGTCGACTCTCATTAAAAAAACACTGTTATAACAAAATACTTTTATAAAGAACAAATTCTGAGAATCCCACTTTCTTGAATTCTTATGTTCTCCTTTGTTTTTCCACTCCTCTTATAACAAAATTCTGATTATAACAAAGTAATTTGTCTGGTCCGTGCAACTTTGTTGTTACGAGAGTTGACTGTATGATCAAAATATTAATTAGTACTTGGTCAATGTGCAAACACGTGTATCCACACATGTGCTATCAGTTTTAATACCTGTACATGACATCACGCCATTGAGTTTGACAGGGCACAGAGAAAATGTTGCATTAATTAATGTTATCGAGTTAAAATAATTGATGTGCATGTAATAATGATAATATCCTTATTTTATGCTAAAAGCCATGCCAAAAAGCCAAAGCAAGGCTTTTCACTGTCTCTTTTTGGGGGTAAATTACAAACTGCCAAAATCTTGCTAGTCCTGAGTTAATTTAGTGTGTAAAAAAAACACAAACTTCTGCAATATAAAAGTATGTGTGGGCTCTCTGAAGGGAAATTCAGATTGCAGTAACTAAACACGAAGGTCTGTACAAGGTTCAGGACAGCACATTTCATTTTACCAAGTAGTTTCTAAAAAAAAGAAAACTTAGGAATATAATCTCTATCACAAATGCCTACATGTACAATGTACCTGTTCGCATTTGTGAAAGACTAATTTTTGGTACTGGTCCCTCTGACTTGGTTTCTTTGGATTTGGGTCTCTTCAAGTACTAAAACATGTACATGTGCATTGGTAAAGCGCTACATTATAATGAATTCAGCTCTTCCCTACTAACAAATCTGCAGAGTTAGGGTTGAAGGTTCAAAGCATCAAGTGAATTAAAATATATGTATCTGATGTCCTTACCTGCCGACAGCTACTCCACTCCCCAATTTTCCAGGTATAAATTGGCACCATGACCTCAACTTCACAGTCTGGCAATTCTGAGCAGGCCCCTCTCTCAGAGAGATCCCCGCATCCCCGACCGCCGTGCCTGGCCGCTGTCAGAACCCGCCTGGTTCTGAACCTGGTTGCAGGGGAGCAGGTGGAACTACATTCCGACCAGCCCGACCAAACAGTCATTGCGCAGTCCTCCGGGCAAGGGTCGCAAGGCCGATACATCGGTTGGGACAAGACTAACGAGGCACAATAATGCATGGGAACCGGCTTGCTCTTTGCGGTGAAAATACACGTAACATTTCTCAGTGTCCGTCCGCAAGAGGTCCTGTTTTTCCTTTCGCAGGGGGTCCATCCATCATGCGACAACCGAAAAAAAACTTGTTGTGATGTGGGTGGGGTTATGCCCCCAGCGTCCCGAGTTCTTTCCTTAGCTCCACCTTCCAGAGGTCCGAGCTTGTTCCCTTTGTGGCCCTTGGATGAGTTTGAAGACTTTGGAAGGCTGTCCATTGAGCCGCAAAGTACTTGCACTGGTCCAGCCAGTGCCAAACTGGCGACGAGCAAAACTTCTACAAAATGTCCCATGACGATTTCAGATTTGGAAGAAAGACAGACCACTGGATGCAACTGATGTTACAAGAGATTCGACTGATGCAAGTTCTCTGCTTATGGACAGCTAGTTTCTACGTTTGAAGACCTTCAGGGGGAAAAAAGGCAGGTTGACTATGTACATGTACCCTGTCAGTTGTACTTTGTCAATCTTTCCAAACAGTTGCCTGTCAAAATGAGTAATAAAAAGAAATTCTAGGATGCATGTAGCAATTTGGATTAAAGTATGAAAAGACAGTACCATAGTCTCTGAAAATGAGTACATGAAACATTTGAAATAAAATAAATGAACAAATCACTTTACATACTGTACGACAAATTCAATTACTGCAGGATTTGCCATCTCCAGAAGAAATACGTTTAACCCTAACCCCCTACATGCATGTAAAATCATATTGAAATCAGAGGATTTGCAACTGCACTGCCAATACATTTTAAACGGTAAACCTTATGACACATACATTGTATATACATGTATGTTACTTCTTAGTTGATGAAATAATACTTTCTACAGTCAAGTTTTAGCAAAGCGCCTTAATTAATGACCAGAAATTGTTACCTCAAATGAAAATAATCACAAATTTGCAAGCTAAATACATGTACAATAGCACATTAAGTACAACTTATATGCAACTACATGTACATGTACAAGTAAAAAAATATGGAAGGCTGCGTAGCAGAATATTGACAAGAATATAATACACAGAACTGAATCTGCTTGCTCTGAAGAAGGTACTAAGTTACCAAAAGCTCAGCAATTACATATTCCAGAGCACTGATTTTTATATTATATTCTTGTCAATATTAGCTACAGTACAAGTAGGCCTGGTAATGGAAGTACCAGCAGTCACGGCAGTGACCAACTGATATTTATAAGGATGCACAAAAAAATGTGTTTGTCGTGCTACTTGGACAAACAGAACCGACATAATAGAGTAATCCACAGATACAACAAGATATTAAATGGAAGTCTTGTTAAGTTGTTGGCCAAACAATAAAAATAAAATAAAACAAAGATAAAAACACCCCTATGCAACAACTTGGCCCTAAAAACAAACAAACGAAAAACGAGAACAAATCCCCAATCCTGATTTCCATAAGATACATGAATAAACATTTTGTGACAAACATTCACAGGGTCTCCGAAAAACCTCATGCATACTTGAGTTAATGCATTAGCCATTAGTCATGCCATGTTGCTGACTCGCGTACAGAAAACAAATAAACACGACAATCCACACACTACAGACAAAATTTGACAGCTGAAAACTGCGCCAAGGTTTATCTAAAAACACTTACCATACATACACGGTGAAGTTTCAATCCTTGCCATGACATTCAGGTATCTCTTTAATGAACTTAGACTTCATAAAGGGCACGCTTTAAAGGTATTCTGAAAATTCTCCATGAGAGCTTTCAAAACACCAAGCTCACGCCCGCTGGAAATGGAACTTGGAAGTGCGGCGATGAACGTGTCGTCTGCAAATCTTCGCGAAGATTTTAAGCCACCTGCCACATAAAAACGATATAGCTGGTACTCGTCGTCAATTGCCGTATGCGTAACATACCTGTAGGGGCCAATTAAACGTCAAGTGAGATTGTTCCATCTTGATTAGGTAGGTATGGTGCCGAAGAAAATCTCTGTAAATTTTTGAAAAGCAAAAATACTCACTATTTCGCTTACTTGTTTTGCTAAGTTAATACCCAAGTGTTGATTATGCGACAAGGTGTTTCTTGAAATTCAGTTGCGTGAGAAAACGAGACCAAGTAGTACTTCCATTTCCATCGGAAGTTTCTAATAAAAGTTAACTAAGTCTTCCCTGTACGACAATGTAGTCGTCCAATGAAAAATACAGAACACGTCAACAAACAAAATGGACGACAGAGGGGGTCGACCGCGCAATGGTTTGTGAATTGTTTCAAATTTGTATTGACTTACTGTTTTTGTAACACTCAATTTCTGACCAAAAATTAGATTTTATTGAACATGCTAATTTGATATGATATATGCCCTCTACAAACTATTTGCGTATTTTAAAGGCAGTTTCACAAGTTCAGCGTCAAGGAAGTTTTCTGTAGTCAGGTAGTCTTTAGTTAGAAAAAAAATGGGGGGGGGGTGTTCACATACCCACCGGTACCTAAGCAATGTACTCCCTTCAAGGAAGATTTCTGTAGTCTTTAGACCCTAGTTCAGGCATGGCTTCTGTCTTTTTTGTTTAATTTCAGGGCGGGGTGGGGCGGCCAGCACAGAAGACATGCTGGAGGCAGAGAACAACCGACTGCAGGAGGGGCTGTCGTCAAAAGTCTCCACACTCAAATCGGTGAGGGTTCGGAATGGGACTCATTGCGTCTTTGTTAGACTTCGTCAGGGTGTTGCGGCTCTACAGATTTTGTGCATGTATTATCGGGCACATGTGGTGAACGAGCACTGTTGGTTGATCATGGATAATATTGACCTCAAGTAGTCCTCTTTTTCAAAATGACCTTCTACAGCTGTGAATTAGGAAGAAAAGGTGACAAAGGATGCCAATGGGGTGGACCAGATTTTATACCGGATAGACCGATAGCGCAGCACGATCAAGTGATCGTGCATATCTACTGATTGCACAACGTGCACATGCATAGACACATTGAATGAAAATTGGTCCTAAACCATTTCCAAATCATGCACTTGATCTACACATGATAATTGTGACGGCACACGTTGAAAATGGTGATCTGTAGAAGGGAGGAGTTGTGCGGAAATGTTGACACTTACCCGGTGTAAAAATCTAGGAGTCGTTTTTCCATTTTTACACGTGACGTCTGACAGGACATGATGCAGTCGGGGTCAGGCATCTGGTTCCCGCGCTGGGCTAATGGTAGAGCGGCATGTTGTACCAGGCGCCAGAAGAATAAATGTTTGGCACCCTTGATCAATCATCGCAATGGTGCGATCACATCAGTCTATCTTGTTTGAAATCTGCGACTCGGATCATTTTCCAAAACACAACTTCGGCTCAGTCTCAGGCTTCAACTGTTTTTTTTACTAATCAAATAAGATGCAAGAAAGCCAAAAATTACAGTAATCCAATGTAATTTAAACACTTCAGGCCTACAATCGGGGTTGGTTTTGGGAACGAAGCCTGAGACGGAGATGAAGTTGAATATTGGAAAACGGCTTTGGCCTCCCAACTGTGAATTAGAAAGTTCAATGGGCTGAAAGTGAAATTATTGGATAGTACAAGATCAAGCAACCGACAGTGTAGTCCATCACAAGTCCCTGTAAGTCCCTGTGAGTCCATCACAAGTCCCTGTAAGTCCCTGTGAGTCCATCACAAGTCCCTGTAAGTCCATCACAAGTCCCTGTAAGTTCCTGTGAGTCCATCACAAGTCCCTGTAAGTCCCTGTGAGTCCATCATAAGTCCCTGTTAGTCCATCACAAGTCCATCACAAGTCATTCAGTCTTAAGTCAATTCACAAGCTATTCAAGTGAGCTGTGACAGAAGCATTCTTTTGTCATTGTTCACCCCGTTACTTATGACTGGCTCCGTGAAGGGACTTGTGGCTGGACTTGCGAAGTGACTAGTGAAAGGACTTGTGAAGGTCTCGAATACAACACTGGCAACCGATCACACAAAGATCAAGCAATCAGATTGACTGATTTTACCTACAAATTCTGATAATACCAGAGTTGCCAGTGACAAATCATTCTCAAGTCATATTGCATTTCAGGTACCAAGAAGTGGGCGAAGAACGACAACAGGTGTAGAGCTCTTGTCACAATTCATTTGAAAAAGCTTGCAACTTGAGAACTGTGAACAGCATGCTGTGAAAACATTTTCCCAAGTGCTCTTTTCTGCCGTTTTTTTTTAAAGTTGTTTATTTGTAAATGTTCTCCAAATACTCTTGCATTGTTAAGTTAAACCTCACTATTTGATGAAATTTTCAGCTTGCATTAGACATCGAAGGAGAAACCAAGGATCAGAACAGATACTTGGATAGCATGGTAAGTTATCATGTGCTGCTCTGATTTTCAACAGTTGCATTAACCCTCCTGTGCTGAAGTCACTCTTTGGGTCACTTGGTAAACACCTCAAAGAAGCACAGCTGTGTCCTGTTGTGCACTGCACCAACATACAAGAGAGTGACCTTGGGCACTTGTGCATATTTGTGCTGTAAAACTAAAGGAGGGTTTATAAGAACAATAAGATAGTAATAACTATTTGTATAGCATCCTCCTGTAACTGATAGACTCTCAGTGCACTTTCCATCATATTACCCCTGCACACTGGGCCCCAAAACAGTCCTATAAACCAGTCCAACGCCCTGGGGAGTATTCGCTTTTTGCACACTGCCGCCATAGGCATGCAGAGCCTCAATCTGGCAGCTTCACACAAATATAGCTGGTGGAGTGATTCTTGGGTATGTTGCTTAGTAATTTTGTACGTACTGCATTAGTTCTTAAACCATGCTATTGGATATTTTTAAAAAGCAAAGCTGCGTTGAAGCAATTCTAGAGTGATTCTACAAGCTGCCAGTTCGAGGCTCTGCATGCCTATGGCGGCAGCGTGCAAAGAGTGAATACAAGGAGCTTTGAAATTGTTTGACAATGTGAGACCCTTTTTAAGAATACATTATTATGACAGCCATCGGTACAACCACTTCAGATGCTCCAGGTTAATCAACCACAAATAACTCTCTGCCCTCGTAGGGTACCCATTTATACTCCCGGGTGGAGAAAGGCAAATGAAGGTAAAGTGATTTGCCCAAGGTCACAACACATTTCCCATGGCAGGATTCGAACATCTGATGTTACAATTCATGTTAGTGCAACAAGGTCCTATCTCGTGTACAACACCAATGCAAGTTACGACCTTGTTGCACTGACACAAACTGGAAGTTACAAGCCCCTACCTACCAGGCCATAAAGCCCTGACACACCCTTATGTGCATGAGATCTTGCAGTTAATTTGGTTCAATCGCAACTCGTCTAGGATGGAGACTTTGACAGCTCAGCGGGTCTCCTCGGAGGGACAATCAAGCGTTTTGACACCATGCTTGGCGCCGGCAGGAACAACCGACGTCTGATGTGTTACCTGATCGCCATCATTGTCGGAATATTCATCCTTGCCTACTTTCTCATGACCAGGGTCACCAGATAATTTGTCTGAAAATGGCTATGAATTATTCATACACTAATTTAAAACTTTCAGATTGGTTCATTGAGACACTGAATAATTCATCAGCTCTCCCATTTGTTTTTCAAAGAGATGAATGGGTCCTTGCTGCTGAATAATTCATTGGCAAATAATTTACACCCTTCGTGTGTCTAGTACCTTGCAGACAGTTTCTGTTCTTGTTCTGTTTCCTTGATAGTAGGAAAAAAAAGTGAAATGTGATAAAAAAAAGTCTTAACTTTTGAACTATTGTTTGTTGGCTTTGTAATTGTTTTGTTCAGTTTTATTATTTTTTCTTCAAATTTAAACATTTTTGCCGAAGCGACTCAGATTCATTCAGAGTCTATTTTCTGCAGTTAAATCAATAGTTCAAAGCAGTGTCCAATGAATATTTTTTGGGGACTTCACTCCGAAGAAATTCAAATGATGATCCCAGTTTGGGGATGTGGCAAGTGTTGGTGATACCTCAACTTTGGTGTTAAATACTCATTCTCAAAGTTAAAAATAATTACACATAGATCAAGGGATGGACCATGTGAAAAATGTTTGTGGGATTTATTTGGGTCTTGGTACAAGGCAATGTTTCAGATTCTGGTCACAAGGAGACCGGGGAGGTTTGCTCTATTGCCCTTTTCCAATGGTGGGATTCTTTGCTTTCAGAAATGCAATTGCAACGTACTGAACCGAGACTAGTGAGCTCTTATCCAAGTGCCAATCAAGAATTGGAGTTTACACTGCACAGAAACTGAGATATTGAAAAGGCTTTACTAATTTATGGTATTAGTGATGTTTAATACTCATAAGGCTTTGAGGTGCACTTGTGTAAATCCATCAGGTACATTTGTACAAATTATAAAGAGTGAATATTGTCTTTACGCGGCTTAACATTTCGCTTTCACATTTATGGGCTACCGTTTCTGGCTTTGACATGAGAGAAATTAGGCACTTGTGGCTGTCTATTGCCCAAGAAAAAGGTCTACCAGTTATCAGGAAAGAAATGCAAACATGTTTAGTCGGGTGGTGGTGATTGCATTCTTGCCAGTGTTGGTGATCAAAACACGCCGTGGCAAAGTTGCTGCCGTCTGGAAAAGGATTACACAAGTGGCATTCAGTCTGCTCTTCAGTGGCTAGTTGGAGCTCGATTGTAAAAAAAAAAATTCAACAATTGCTGATCTTGTTTCACATGTACTCAGACATGGCTGAGATGGATTTGTATTTACACGTATTAAATGTAAATGAACATGGTTAACATGAACCTTAGTGGTGGAAAAAAAATCCATACTTTTCCTCATTTGGTTAATGCTATCATGTGTAGAAATATAGTGTACATTAATGTATATTTTATTCATTTTTGTTAGATGCAAAGGCATTAAAATGTGAAGCTGGTAATGGCAGAAAAAATCAATGTTGAATGCCAGGATCTTGGTGTGTTTCAAGTTTTATTTTGTCATGCTATCATTAACTGCAAAATTTTTTGTCATCACATCTGTAATACTCGCAATTCACAAAGTGCGCCCCCAAGAGTTTGTCAATCCTTTCCGAAGGCTCATTGGGTCGACAGATTTTGCGCATCGTGATTGGCCAACGCATTGCAAACTCTTGGTGGCGCACTTTTGTAAATCGCCCGTATTGACTGCAAAACTTGATACAATAATGAACCCCTTGCGTAAATTTCAAGGCAAAAAAAAATGTGCTTTGAGGTACGCTTATTACGGGTTATTCAAATTGTACTTAAATTATTAAAACCACTTGTACACTTCTTATCTTCAATTCAAAAGATATATCAGACTCAACCCACTCTGGGTTCAGCATACTAATTGGAAGCAGAGTTTTCACCAAAGCGGAGGGTACATTCCAACATGCATGCCTAGGTCATGTTTTATAAAATTTTAAACTCAGTACAGCAATGCTGAAATTTTAAACTCCAGAAACCCTTGCTCCACAAATGCCAAACTGCAAAAAACATGAACTTTATCCAGCAACTTGTTAGGAGGAAAGTGCTAAGCTTAGGTTGGCCAAGAAAGGACATCAAAATTGTGTAAATTTCTTGACCTTTCTCAATGCTGCAGATTACTTGTAAGGAATCTGAAATAAGAATTCATGCCATCATAAAAATCATAAAAAAGTAGCAAGGCAGAAAAAAAGTAGCAAAGCACAACAAACCATCCTAACGTGAGCAAAATGTATTGCAAGTACGTTTCCAATGGCAACAAATTGATGATGCGCCATTTTGGCCACAAACTAAAGATCCCAAATGACAAAACTTTCTCTATGCCTCAAACCCTTGTATGAGGACATCCCCTGGTGTGCGAACATGCCCTTATTTTGTATAAGGACATCATGGCAACCAACAGATGCCATTTCCTAGGTAAAATCATCCAGGAAATTAGTAATACGAAGTCCCATTAAAAACATAATCTGAAACCATTTTAAGACCGGGGCCAAAAAGATCACTTCCTTCCTGGAAACTAGCCAGGGCCCTTTTCCAATACTCAACTTGGGCTCCGTCTCAGGCTTTGTTCCCCAAACCAATCCCCGTAAGTGGGCCTGAAGCATTTAAATTAAATTGGATTACTGTAATTTCTGGCTCTCTTGCATCTTATTTGATGTTTTGTGGCACTATTAAACTAATTACTGCACTTACAGCTTCAACATCAGCTAGTAAAAAAACAGTTGAAGCCTGAGACAGAGCCGAAGTTGAGTATTGGAAAATGGCCTGGGATTACAACTGGCCTGTTTATTTCAAACTGAAATTAAATGGCACTTTGAAGCATTTACATGTACTTTTTACAGCTACAATGCAAATTTAACCAAACTAAATGCTCTAAAATTACTCCCCAATATTCTAAAAACCTCTTCATTTGTATAAGAAACTTGTTAACAGTGGGATTGTTGTCAAGTTGAATTTTGCATCTTGGCAGGCAATATTAAGTGTAAAAGGATATTAAGAGAAACACTAGATACATATTCAATATTGCTATGAATAAGTAATTAGAATAACATGAATATTCAGGTGGAGCTTAAGCCTGTATGTACATGTAAGTGTGGATGCTTTGTCGGAGAATGTCCCCTGTCCATCCAATGCAGGTACAGGTATCATAATTAACAACGCGTCTAAGCTCAACAGGGCAATAATGTCTCAGAGCTGCTGAGCAAACTTGCTTAGCAAAAAGTATTCGTCTCATAACCTGCCACAACTCATGCACAAACAGGTACAATTTGGCCGGTATCCTGTTTTTTTGCTGAGCAATAGTCCTCTCTGTTTAGCAACTTTCAGCTCAGTGGAATTGGTCCCCAGTCACTTGTTCTCGTTATATGATGGCGCGTTTAGTCCAGCTGTGTATGGCCAGATGTGGTATTGCTCCAACAGAGGGGCAACTAGGGTACAGTTCATTTGGGGACCCTCATTTTCTGGAGGGGGACGGTCAAGGTGACAGATTTTTTCCTTCCCTGACAATGAACTTTACGATCTATGGTAAGAAAAAAAACCCATGTTAATGGTCAGTTGAACCTAGAGAAACAATCGATCCTGTGATCAGATGTTTAAGAACCTTCAAATTTGCCTGTTGTGTCCAACAAAAAGTTGAAAATGCTAGTGATCTGCAGCCACTATGGGCATACAATTATGCCAACTTCTGATTAAATTATAATCATAAACATGTTCTTTTCGGTGGATAAAATCTCCATTCACTGTTTGGGGAAACGAGTGTACTGTATACTGCTGCTATGTAATAGCCACTGGTCATTTATACACCAATAATTTTGATTCGGCTCTTCTTTTTATATACCAACATAAAATTAAAAAGCTAGTAAATATTACTGAATTCCAAAAATACACGTTAAAAAGAGGGACAAAATGGAACGTCATCAACTCCATTCAAACTAATAAATATCAACTCTGAACAGAGAAGCTGTTTACATGCACAAGAAACAAGATTTATTTCCTTTCTTGCCAACAGGTAGTACTAACTGGAGTAATGAAGCAACATGCAAATGCAACTCATTACGCATAATTAATTTATTTAAATGATTTACATACAGCACCAATTACATCCAAATGCTACAAAGCCAATGTCTATATGGGGTGGTAATGCCTATTTGTTTACTTAATGGAAAAAAACATTCAACAATGCAGAATATTATAACAAAGTTGGTATATTAGATTCAACATCAAAGTTCCTGTTTTATTTGCTCTGCCTTAAATTGACCACTGGGAAATTTTCCTGTTTTGATGTGAGGCAAGTGTCTCTTAGCCACAAGGAGCTACTGACCAAAATGTGAAGTGTGCACCGGTTGTGGTTGGTTACCGGTGAAGTATGCACTACACAAGCAGCACATTATCATCAACCTTTTCCCGGGCAGGCGCTTTATCCGTATTTCCAGCTTGGCTTGCAGAGCAGGTAGCCAGGGGGCGCACTGCTCAACATCATGGGGACAAGGTTGCATTATTATCTTCATTCAGAAGTAAAACAAAAAAGGTTAAAGGGCACTCAGGGCTGGTTGGTGAAAAGTGGAGGGGAGCCTTGACGTCATCTTTTTTATGATGCTACACAATTTTATTTCACGGGGTGCATGCAGTTTTCGCTGTGTGCACCATTTGTTTTGACCACTTGAGGCTGCTTACACGACACTGCTCTCAAAGGTACAATAAAACCTAACGACACATCTCCCTGATGGAAGCCATTTCGATTACATTCCAGGTCTGTATAGTCAAAGACCAATTCACAAGTCTGTTCACAAATTGTCACACGTTCAGTCGCTACAAGCTGGGTGCATGCAAGGGCAGATCGGGGGGGAGATAACAGGGGCGATCTCCCCCCAAAATCCCATTTTATAAATAATACTGAATGAGATATTGCTTTGGTCTATTTTGTTATCATTTTCCTTCCTTTCAAAAGCATGCACAAAGACCTACAAGTATCCCTCAGAGCAACAAGAGACGGAAATATCCAATTTTTGGGCTCCCAAAAAAGAAAGTTTGCCCTCCCCCCAGTTTGTTTGTGAATCCATCCATGGATGAATTGAAACAAGGTAAAAACGTTGGTCACGGTTCACTGCAACGGCTTGCGACTTGGCTTAATAAGACTGGATGAGTTGTGGGCGACTTGTGGGCGACTTGTGGGTGACTTGTGGGCGACTTGTGAATGACTTGTGCTTGGCTTGTGGGCGACTTGTGAATGACTTGTGCTTGGCTTGTGGGCGATTTGTGGATGACTTGTGAATGACTTGTGGGCGACTTGTGGGCGACTTGTGAATGACTTGTGGGAGGCTTGTGGGCGACTTGTGGGTGACTTGTGGGTGACTTGTGCTTGGCTTGTGGAAGACTTGTGAATGACCTGTGGGTGACTTGTGCTTGGCTTGAGGGAGACTTGTGAATGACTTGTGGGGGACTGGTGCTTGGCTTGTGGGCGACTTGTGGATGACTTAGTGGGTGACTTGTGCTTGGCTTGACTACAGTCCAATGAGATTCTAATGTAAGTTTTAAAAATGTAACAAACCTACGCAAACTAGCAAGTGAGATCATATATCAATCTTTGTACAGTGCAAAACGTCCGATGGACTGTACCTTCAACCCACATACAGTACAGGGATTGTGACAAAATTTAACCATGCACCATAAATATTCCTGGTAAGTCAGCTGATCTAAATTTCTGAATGTCTCATGTGTACTAAGTTTTGGCTCCCAAAATGCCCTATTCTACCCCTCTTATAGCTCAAGCTCTGCCCCTAAAAAAAATTACAATTAAAGTGGAAATGGTTTATTAACAATACCCAACATTAAAATATTACACGTACATTCCTTCAAGTTCACAAAACCAAATTGTTTGGGGGAAATTAAAAAGACAATTCAACAATTGAACCTTCCATCTAGGTTAAGCAGAATTTTTGGAGTTTATATTTACACTGTACACTTAATGTGAATTGATACTTCAAAATGCTACAATCCACTACTTTTTAACCTTTTTTTTCTTTTAAATAAAAAAATTACTTGATTTAAAAATATCATTCATTTATCATAATACGTTCAAAGGTAAAATTTGAAAAATTCATCAGATGACGTGCAATTTTACGAAACCCATTGCTCCGTGGGATTTAGAGCACTCCTCAAAATATGGAAATTAAACGTGTGAGGGAATACAGAAAGCTATTGATCTCCATCACAGGGCAGCCATCTTGCTCTCCTACCACTCAAAGCAATGTAACCAAACTGAGGCTGGAAGGAAAAATAGTCTGCTCCCTTACCACTATAAGGTGTTTGTATTACTAATGCCAAATAGGCTACGGGAAACAAGACAAACATGGCAGCATCGTGATGAAGGTCTACTGCCACCACAGAAAGGCAGATCCTCTCAGTTCCTCATATTGCAAACTAAAAAAAACACTGACTGTCGACTTGGGTTAGATGTGTGGAGGTAAAACACAATGTTTCCCAAAATACCAGCACAATTGGGGTAAATTCTGCGTTCCTTTGTAGACTAATCCAGCAAAGCAAAATTTGCTTCTTTTAACCCCCGTCCCATGAACTTCTCTCTGGGTACCCTGCTGAATGCTGAATGCAACACAAGGCAACAAAGCTGAAAAGAATCCTACTGAATGCAACAGAACCAAGTAAAAGTGTCGGGGGGGGGGGAGGTCGAGGAAAGATGTCGGGGGGAAGGGAGGGGGACGTGAGCTGGCAGGGATGCATTCAGGTCCTTTTGCAAATCTGTAAGCTCCTCGCATGGGTGCTACAGGGATACTACAAAAGGTGTGAACACCCCCCCCCGATTTCCTGAAATGTTCCTGGGACTTTTTTCCCCTCTGTGAGTATAAACCAAGCTTATGAGGAGAAATGAAAACAGAGACACACAATGTCGATGGAAGAAATATGCACAAACATAGAATTGAATACTTGAGGTTCAAACAAGACCTTGCCTCAAAGGTATCAACGCAGAAAATTGCTTCAAACTGAGTGGCTGGGATCTTCGATTGATTCTCTAAGTGCTTTTTTTTTCATCTATTTTGTCACAGGGCAGTAAGGCTAGTCCTAATGCATACATGTACCTCACTGGCCGTTTACATAAGATCTGCTGATAAAACTGCTAAAAATACACACAAGATTCCCCCTGAATAAGAAGTTATCAAAGAATATCATTTGACACTACTCAACAAATATGAAACTGTACCCGAACATATATGATTAATATACTATATCGTCTATAATGTCCTGTACAAATCATCAATGTTGCGCACGGACAACACTGCATTGATAGTTCTATAAAAGAAAAGACAGTAATTCAACATTTTGAAGTTTGAGAGTATACGCTTTCATGTGCACATATCCGATCCCACAAGAACGTAAATAAATTGTAAAGTTGACCCAAGCTCTAAAATTTTGGCCACATTTTACCGATCTGTGAGAGAGGCTGTGCTTAACAAGACATGGCCCATACTTAATGATAAATTCATCCTTTAACTGAAGGAACATGAAACCATGCCTTTGGTACAAATAACAAGAACATGTGCTGCTTTTAGGCATTTGGCAAAAATATACGGAAGTGCACAATTCACAAATGGTATATATTTGTCACGGTGAAAGCAAACATTGAGGATGTTAGCTGTTTTGGGGGGAAAATTCATTTTGGCCAGATTGTGATTTTTGAGCTGGTGATGCCATGACAAGACGGAAGCATTTGTATCTTTTGAAACTTTATAGAAATGACAATCAATGCAACAGAAAAACTGTGAGTTAAAAAAATTCAAAATAAAAAAAAAAAACGGTTGCCATGGTTCAGATTTCTTGATATTTCTGCAGCGTCTCTTGCAGCTTGGAGGTGATGTTTTGGTAGAACCTGATCTGCTCCGTGAGGTAATTCTGCATCACCTCCTTGAAGTCTTGGACTCGCTCCGAGTGAAAGTGGTTGATCTCCGCTGGGAAGAACCAAAAAATCCAAAATAATAAACCGTTCTTACCGTATGTACAGCTTATCACGACAAAAAGGTCTCTATCTGCTTGGTAAGAAACAAGTGATTCTTAAGCTGTCATTTGAGTATTCGAATGGGCAGATCTCTCTTTGAATAACAACAGCGATTATTGCTGTGATGTAGGGGCGTGGCATTTTAACATCAAGGGGTTCACAGCATCTGTGGCCAACTTATTGAATGTGCCAAGTGCAATGTACATGTACTCTACATGTGGCTAGTTCCATCTGGAAAGCAGACAGAATGTGCTATCAGTCTGCTGCTCAGGAACACGTCTTCAAAAGTTCACAAGATTTCCTTGGAAACAGTAAATGACCCCACTCGGTGGACTTACACATCATGGCGTAGGACACCACGTCCGCCCTATTTTTGACCGCCTCTGCTTCCTCGTAGTCGATCTTCTGCTCCTCCCGTTGCTTCTGGCATTCCTTGACAGTTGAGATGGTGTGCTGCGAGAGACGACGGGCCAACGCAAACAATGTTGTAAATCAGTGTTGAAAAGTCCGCTCCTTCATTTGTGAATATTACCGTTAACAACTCATGAAGCACTTAACAAGGTCTCGCATTCTGATTTGAACAGAACTTTTCTCAGAGGCCCAAACCAAAAACCCAAATACGGGTGATTCACAATACACAGAGCCACCAAGAGCTTGCCGCAGACGGGCCAATTTTCTAGTTCACAGTTGACACGCTGCTGCAATTAAGTGCACTTTGTACGTAAGTTGGGAATATGTGATTTAGGCATTCCCTGCACCATGCAAAACCATCATTTAGACTACCTAACACCATTCCCAATAAGCAATTTCGAATTTCCAACCAAGATAAACAAATAGTCGGACAAAAACTCAAGTTTTCTTCACACAGTGCAGTCAACAAATGAGACTCTGTCGACTATTCATCCCATAACACACTGTGAACAGGCTTCTCCGAGACAACCGTTTGGTGGCGCACTGCACTGTGAATCGCCTGTATTGACAATCCAATTGTCAACTTACCTTGTGGAAGCTGATCATGTCGGGGAAGGTGGACAGTAGGCCCGAGTACTCCCGCAAGAAGTCTTCCAGGACATACCCGTCATACTTGGGCTGCTCAAAAAACAGCTGGCCGATAGCATCGTACGTCTGTCCCGTGTGCTTCATGGCTTCTGTCAACTTGGTCGAGACTGGACGAAACAGAACAAACAATGGAAACAATCCCCAAAAGCTTAGTCTTAGGTGTTTTTCATCCCTGCCATCAGAAAGTGGAAGTCAGAGTTATCTTTGTTGAAAGAAAAAATATAGAAGCTCAAGTTGAAAGCGAAACCAAGGGTTGGAAAGCAAGCAGAGTAGAGGTCAATAGAGTGAGTGCTACACAGGTTTTATATTGAATTTGTTGAGAATGTGGGAAAGCATAACTAGATGTAAACAGAGTTTATCACAAGTCAACTGGGAGTCAACTGCAAGTCAACCACAGATCAACCACAAGTCAACCATGAGTCAAAGTTGAGTCAAC